ATTTATCCATATTCATTCATTCAACCAGTTGGTATAAAGAACCTTCTACGTGCTAAGCACTGTTTTCGGCAACTGAGGATTCAGTTGAAAACAAACTGGAAACGTCTCTGCTCTCATGTAGCTTACATTCTACTGGGGGAGTCAGATAAACACAAAGTAACATATAATATAATGTCAGGTAGTGAGGGGAAGAGGATAGAAAGTGACAGGGGTTGCTCTTTTAGAGAAGATTGCCAAGGAATGACAAATGAGCAACGTGACAAATGAGCTGATACCTGAATAAGTGAGGTAGGGGGCCATGTACAATTCTGGCAAATGAGCAGTCCACACGAAACAAACAGCAAATAAAAAGTCCAGGAACAGGCATGGACTTAGTGTGTTTGAGAAATAGCTAGTCATGTGGCTGGAGTAGCTCGAGAGTAAGGAAAAATGACAGGAAAGGAAGTTGAAAAGGTAGCCAGGGTTCAGGTCATGAAGAGCCTTGTAGGTGAGAAGTGTGGCTTTTAATCTATATATGATATGGGGGATTCCAAACAGGAAAATAAATATATGGAAAATCTCTGTACCTTCCGCTCGATTTTGCTATGATCCTAAAACTTCTTTAATAAATAAAGTCTATTTAAAAAAAAACTAAAAAAGGATTGAACTGGCAACAGTTTGGAGCAAGGACACCAGTTAGGAGGTTGCTACAGAAACTGAGGTAGAGATTTAATACAGGGGTATCAGTTCAAGGGAGAGGCAGGAATAGGATATATAAGTTATTACCATATGTATGATATTTAAAACCATGGGACTGGATGAGAAAGTGAAGATGGAAAAGAGGTGCAAAGACTGGGTCTGTATACATAGCTAGTCGGAAGCAGCCACATAGCACAGAGAGATCTGCTCGGTGCTTTGTGACCAGCTAGAGGGGTGGGATAGGGAGGGTGGGAGAGAGGCACAAGAGGGAGGGGATATGGGGATATATGTATACATATAGCTGATTCACTTTGTTATGCAGCAGAAACTAACACAACATTGTAAAGCAATTATACTCCAATAAAGATGAAAAAAAAAAAAAAAGACTGGGTCTGGAGTATTCCATCATGTCAAAAGGACCCCTATAAGAAAAATGTACTTGAGTATAATACAGGATAAAACAAAGATGAGAGAGAGACAGAGAGAGAAGCAAAAGAATGCAAATAACTGAGTCTTTCATTTCCAATTAATGTCTCCAAAGAAAACTAGCAGAAAAGAACTATGATTACTATAATGTATAAATGACTTTATACATTATAGTAATCATATTATCATTGACAGAAAAACATTGGGAGCTTGTCTATGACAACAGTTACAAAAGTTCAAATGAATTATATGACAAGAACTGATGTATAATTGATTTATGTCAATTATGCCAATAAATACAATCTTTGCAGTTTCTTCTCTATATTTGTTTTTAAAGTCCTCTTTCACACCTCCAATTATTTAGTCATCATAGTATTGACAGGCATTTATTATACATCATTATCACTGACATGAAAACGTAAAATAATCTACTGCCCTTAGAAATAGCATACTCTCCAAAATCATCTCATGGAATAAAGAGATAAATAATCCCCTTTGCATTCAGCATTATTCACAATAGCCAAAAGGTGGAAGCAACCCAAATGTCCTTTGAGAGATGAATGGATAAAGAAAATGTGGTGTACACATGTAATGGAATATTATGCAGCCTTTAAAGATAAAGAAATCCTGTCACATACTACAATGTGGATAAATCTTGAGGACATTATGTTAAAAAAAATAAGACAGTCACAAAAGGACAAATGTTGTATGATTCCACTCTTATGAAATACCTAAAGTAGTCAAAATCATAGGAACAGAAAATAGAAAGATGGTTTTCAAGGGCTTGGGGGGGAGGAAAAATTAGTGTTTAATAGGTATAGAGTTTCAGTTTTGCAATATGAAAAAATTATAGAGATTTTTTGCACAGCAGTGTGAACATACTTAACACTGCTAAACTGTACACTTAAAAATGGTTAAGTTGGGCTTCCCTGGTGGTGCAGTGGTTGAGAGTCCGCCTGCCGATGCAGGGGACATGGGTTCGTGCCCCGGTCCAGGAAGATCCCACATGCTACAGAGAGGCTGGGCCCATGAGCCATGGCCGCTGAGCCTGCGCCTCTGGAGCCTGTGCTCCGCAATGGGAGAGGCCACAACAGTGAGAGGCCCGCGTACCACAAAAAAAAAAAGGTTAAGTTGGTAATTTTAATACTATGTGTTTTTTACCACAATAAAAATAATAATAATCCCTTTTAAACTGGCATTGGCTCTTAGAATAAACAAGATTATAGATTTCCTTGTTTTCAACCTTCACAGGTAAATATTTTATCTATTTGGCCCCTGTATTAGTCAGATAGGGCTGCTATAATCAAACACCACAAACTGGGTGACTTAAACAGCAAATTTTATTTCTCACAATTCTGGAGGCTAGGAAGTCAGAGATCAAGGTAGCTGGGGATTTGGTTACCAGTGAGAGCTCTCTTCCTGGTGCTGGTTTGCAAAGCGCCTTCTTACTGTGTCCTCACGTGTCAAAAGAGAAAGAGTGATCTCTCTCATGTCTCCTCATATAAGGACACTAATCCAATTGAATCAGGGCCCCACCTTTAAAACCTCATTTCACCTTAATTACTTCTTAATTCCAAATACAATCACATTAGAGGTTAGGACTTCAACATATGAATCTGGGAGGACAAAATTCAGTCCATAGCATTCAGCCCTGGCCCTCAAAAATCCATGTCCCTGTCAAATGCAAAATATGTTCATTTTATCCCAACAACCCTAAAGGGCTTAACTCATTCCTGCATTAACTCTATGAAGTCTAAAGTCCAAAGTCTTATCAAATATCATCTAAATCAGGTATGAAAGAGACTTGAGATACTATTCATCCTGAGGCAAAATTCATCTCCAGCTATGAACTTGTGAAATCAGACAAGTTACGTGCTTCCAAATACCATGGTGGGACAGGCATAGGATAGACATCTCCAAACTAAAAGAGAAAAATAGAGAAAGAAGGGATGACAGGTCCCAAGTAAGTTCAAAACCTAGAACATCACATTCAGTTAAATCTTAAGGCTTGAGAATAATCCTATTTGGCTCAAAGCCCTGCCTTCCAGTCCTGCCGGGTGACAGCATCACCTCTACAGCTTACTGGGGTGGCCCCACCCCTTTGACTCGGAAGGGCCCCCCCACCTATACAGCTTTGCCAGGGCCTTGTCTTCTGAAACTGAAGAGGAAAGCCTCCCCTGGGCCTGTGATGGGAGTGGTAGCCCTGATGACTTCCAAATTGTCTTCAGAATCATTTTTCCCTTTTTTTGAAGAATAGTGCACATTCACACCCAAATAGCTCTATAATCTTGTCCTGTATAATTCAAGAAGTTTGACAGCCTTCCTTCACTGTACCCCTCTCTGTCTCCTTCTCAAACTGGCAGTGTTTCTGTTTGCATAATCCTATGACCTCTTCATTAGGATAGTCCAGCTACAACCTTGTTGTTCTTTAGAACATACTTTCTCATTTTTTGTAATACAGACAGGCTGAGAATTTTCCAAATCGTTAACTTCTGCTCCCTTTTGTTAGCACATGTTTCTTCAATTCACCTCTCTCCTCTCACATTTTACTACAAGCAGGCAGGAGGAATCAAGCCCCTCTTTCAACACTTTTCTTAGAAATCTACTCAGCTAAATATCCACTTTCATCAGTTGCAGGTTCTACCTTCCACAAAACACTACAGCAGAGTTCAGCCAAGTTCTTTGCCACTATATAAGAATCACCTTTCCTCCAGTTTCCAATATGTTCCTCATTTCCATCTGATATTTCACCAGAATGATCTTTACCATGCATATTGCTACCAACATTCTGTTCATGATTATTTACATATTCTCTAAAAAGATGGAGGCTTTCTCTGAAGTTCTCTTCTTTCTGCACCCTCACCAGAATGCCTTTCACATCCATATTCCTACCAGCAGTCCCTTCACAGCAATCCAGTTTTTTTCTAGCATGCACCTCAAAACTTCTCCAAACTCTACCCATTACCCTGTTCCAAAGCTGCTTCCACATCCCTGGTATTTGTTACAGCAGCATCTCCACTTCTCACTATCAAAATCTGTATTAGCCAGCTAGGGCTGCCGTAACATAATACAATAGACTGAATGGCTTAAACAACAGAAATTTATTCTCACAGTGCTAGAGGTTAGTAAGTGCAAGATCAAGATGTTAGCAGATTTAATTTCTGGTGAGATCTCTCCTCCTGGTTTACAAACAGCCATCTTCTCACTGTGTCCTCACATGGCAATGGCAGAGAGAGAAAAAGCAAGCTCTCTGGTGTCTCCTCTTACAAAGACACTAATTCTGTTGGATCCAGTCCCCACCCCATAACCTCATTTAACTTTAATTGCTTCCTTATTCCAAATACAGTCTCACTGGAGATTAAGGTTGCAACATAAGAACTTTGCGAGGACACAAGTCAGTCCATAGCAGCCCCATTGATAAAATTTTCTTACAGATGTGCACCCATATAGTTGTAGATATATAGTTGTAGAAGGAATATAATTCATACAGCTTGAGTTTTAAGTTTACTGGTACAAACACCAACAGAATTTATCATGCTATCATAGACGCACTAACTCATGACAGTAATTTTAATGTAATAAAAAGTAGAAAATGCACCTGTTTGACTCTTTAAAAAAATGAAGTTCAGATCAGTTGCAACAGGAGACAAGAAAAGCACAGATAAGTAACATAATAAAGGAGCAAAAAAATTATTTCATTCAATAATTTTGTATTGTCTCCCCTATGGATTTCTATATTGCTTTAATGAAAATGGCTAATCTTTCCACGTATAAAAAAAAAAGGTTATAAGGAATCTTACTTTAGTCACACTTTGAGAGTCCTCTGGTCCACCCACTAAACTTTCAATAAACAACAAAATCAACAGTGTTTAAAGAAAAAAGAAATGACATGACACAGACACGACACCATAAATCTCCTAGAACATAGGCAAAACATTCTCTAACATAAATCATAGCAGTGTTTTCTTAGGTCAGTCTCCCAAGGCAATAGAAATAAAAGGAAAAATAAACAAATGGAACCTAATCAAACGTATAAGCTTTTGCACAGCAAAGGAAACCATAAACAAAATGGAAAGAAAACCTAGAGAGTGGGAGAAAATATTTACAAATGATAAGACTGACAAGGGCTTAATTTTCAAAATACACAAACATCTCATACAGCTTAATATCAAACAAACAAACAACCCAATCAAAAAATGGGCAGAAGACCTAAATAGACATTTCTCTAAAGACATACAGATGGCCAACAGGCACACGAGAAGATGCTCAAAATCGTTAATTATTAGAGAAATGCAAATCAAAACTACAATGAGGTGTCACCTCACACTGGTCAGAATGGCCATCATTACAAAGTCTACAAATAATAAATGCTGGAGAGGGTATGAAGAAAAGGGAACCCTCCTGCATTGTTGGTAGGAATGTAAATCGGTGCAGCCACTGTGAAAAACAGTATGGAGGTTCCTTAAAAACCTAAAAATAGAGTTGCCATATGATCCAGCAATCCCACTCCTGAACATATATCCAGAGAAAACTGTAATTCGAAAAGATACATGCACCTCAATGTTCATAGCAGCATAATTTACAATAGCCAAGACATGGAAGCAACCTAAATGTCCATTGACCGATGAATGGATAAAGAAGATGTGGTATATATATACAGTGGAATATTACTCAGCAATAAAAAAGGATAAAATAATGCCATTTGCAGCAACATGGATGGACCTAGAAATTATCATACTAAGTGAAGTAAGTCAGAAAGAAAAAGACAAATACCACATGATCTCACTTATATGTGGAATCTAAAATATAATACAAATGAACTTTTTTACAAAACAGAAACAAAGATATAGAAAACAAACTTATGGTTTCCAAAGGGGAAATGGGGTGGGGGAGGGGTAAATTAGGGGTTTGGGATTAGCAGGTACAAACAACAAGGTTCTACTGTATAGCACAGGGAACTATATTCAATATTCTGTAATAAACCAGAATGTAAAAGAATATGAAAAAGAATATATATATGTGTATGTATAACTGAATCACTTTGCTGTACACCAGAAACTATTACGACATTGTAAATTAACTATACTTAAATTTTAAAAATTTTTAATTAAAAAAGAAAAAGAAAAGGAAATCCACTAAACTTTACTGTACAGTCCTTGAGAGAAAGATAAGTTTTCATTACTAATGTGATGTTTCCATGTCTAGCACCATACCTGGACTCTATCTCTCTATATACACACATACATACATACAAACATGTATGTATGCATTACATCAATTGAGGATTGAAAGGATGAAGACACTGATAATTGATTCATACTGATAACTCACTAATTAGATAAAGCACCTCTGACTATTCAAAATTCACAGTTGTAGTAACATATTTTATGAAGGTTATATCAGTTGACTCTCATTTATTTCTATATTATTATTGACTGTTCTAAAATTTGCACATGACATACCAAAGATGAACAGGGTAGTTTGGAGTTGAGAAACTTCAGGGGATGGGAGGTTATTTACAAACTCTGGCAGTTTCCCAGTGGTTCCAAGTGTTGAAATGTCCTATGTTCCTAGGAAACTGATAGCATCACAAGAATTAAAGCACTGATTCTATGACATTTGGCCCTTAATGACTAGTTCATCAATGCCAAGATGTGTCATAATGCTTTATTGAGCCCAGTATGTTCAGAGAAAACAATAGACTCTTCCCGGCCCAGGTGCTCCATGGAAAATAAGTAATCTGGAGAAAAAAGCTCTGTGTCAAATATGTTTGGAAAACCTAAGCTAATCTCCTTTGGAGTTTTACAGTGCCTATTAGCATAGTTAAGACTTTAAGAAATCCCAAATTAATTATTTTAATTGTGTTTAATTTTGTTAACCCTTGTGCTTCATATTATCTGTTAGCAACTCAGCACCATTCCCCACTCTCCTACACAACAGGGTCTGAAGGCCAGGGAACAATATTTCGCAGAATCCCTTGCTGGCATGGTTCTGGGTTATAATACACCAGGGAGAGATGCTCTCATGAGATTTAGAAGGCAAAAGAAAAACAGAAGCAACTGTTTCACTCTATTATTTATGTGGGCAGATACATGACCATTGAAAGACATGAATCCCTTAGAGTTTGTCTGCAAATTACCCATTTCTTAAGGAGCTGATCAAGTAGTAAAAAGAGACATAATAATAATTTAAAACATTTATGAAGTCTTTACTCTGCACCATCATTTTCTTAAGGTTTTACATATATTAAATCATTTAACCCTTACAATAACTCTTTGGGGTACGTCCTACTATTTAGGTGATAGTTATTGATATTTATTATATAGGAAATTAAAACTGAGAATTGTATAAAATTTTCATTTTAAAAAATTTAATTCATTTAAAAAATAATAGATCTATTATATATAAACACAAATTATACTTTTATGAAAATAATTACTTTTTCCAAGCAAAAAAAATGTCTTAAGTGCTATTGTTTTATATTTTTGCCAATCTCTATAGCGAATGACTTAGCAAAAGAGAGTTGTACACTTCCGTCTGCTTCTGCATTCAATCTGCTGCAATATGCTGTTGTGGTTGAATATATGAAGAAAATCCATCCTCACACAGATAAGCAGTTGAAAAAAGGAGGCAATTGTGGATACTACCTTAATACTACCAGCAAAATTCAAAAAGTGGTAGTTTCCTGAAGGTTAGTTGCAATGTGGAATCTGAAATCGTATCAATTTTTTTAACTTGAATACACTAAACTTCATTGGTTTGTCTTGAACTTTAAATGGATTTTTTTTACCCATGCATTATTTTGTAACAACATGCACTAGCCACTGAAAGTATTACTTCAGTGAGTTATAAAGGTCTTCCAAATATTGACAATTTTCATTCTACATAATATAAATCACACTAGTTAATATCGATACTGATCTCAACAGAAATGTGTCCAAGTATTGGGAAGCTGTCGATCTCAGTGTGGCAGACAAAAGTTTTCCAAAGTCTAATTTTCACCTGAAAGGTCAAATTCTGTAATTGGCAACAAATGTTGTCAGTTGTCTTCTTTGAGATGACAGGCTCACTCTGTTTGTCTGTTTGTTTTGATTAACCAATTTTACTTTATTTTTTCCAGCTTTACTGAGGTATGATTTACAAACAAACGTGATATGTAACATGATGTTTTGAAGTACATGTACATTGTGAAATGATTCTGCCAATCAAGCTAACTAACCTACCCATCCATTTTGTCTCTGAGAACATGTCTACCAAGTACCTCCTCTGAATGACCATAGGTTGCCTTTATCTCAAATGAAAATGATGTTTTATTTTTTTTTTAAGTGGCTAGGTCAGCTTACCTCAAAGCAAGTGCTTTTTCTTAAGAATACCATCATATTTCAGTATGCAGCAGTGCTTTATGCATACTTTCCATTTTGTCACAAAGAACATAAAGATGTGTACTCAAGAGTGAGACAATAAAATTAATCATTTTTACAGCTTTGTCAGGGACATTCTTAAGCAAAATTCACACCGCAAGTGTGTGGTGACAAAGAATCTACTGACTATTAGCACTATTTGGTGTCACTGCTTTGATTCATGCAAAGATGCCACCCACCACTGTCTTACCCATCACTGCTTTGTAATATCAGTGCAAATGTCAACATAGTGAAAGAGGTAAACAAGATTTTAGTATTATCATGAACATTAGATTTCACTTCACAGATCCCTAAAAAAATCTGAGGGATGTCCAGGGGTCTGTGGACCATACTTTGAAAACTGTTCCTTTAGTCTTCCTGTATCTTGCAATTAGGTTTTCCTAAATGATTGCTTGTTGATTGTTCTCCATCACCTATATTACAGAGTTCCAACTACTGAGCCAGCTTTTAAAGAAGATATCATTCTCTGACATCAATCTATCTTTCCAATGTTGTCTGCCAGAAACCGTCTACAGTAACCAAACCCTATTCTATAAGTGGGTCTAATCTATTTCCTAGAGTTCTACTTGCCCTCACTTAACTATTTGTTTGTATGAAATGTCGCACTCCTTCCTCAATGGCCATAAAATCACAAGCAGCTGAAGTTCACCTTCCTCAATAATGCCTTCCTGATTTCTCCTACCCACAGTAATTTGTCCATCCTGTACATTCAGGATTTATTGTCTAAACCATTCTTTTAGCACTTCCTACACTATCTTTGTTGAAGATATCCTTTGTAGTTTTCTTTTTAACAAACTAGTCACACTTTTATGAACTGATACCTTGTCTTCCCAGTTCCCTAAGGGCTGAGACCATGTGTTACAAATCTTTGTACACAGTGCAATAGGGGATACATAGGCTCAAAATAATTTTTGAATAAAAGTTGTGTTTGTCCCTGCTGGTCCGCTAAAAGCCAACTCCTGACAGTTTTTAAGGAAAAGTCTGCTATCTAATCATTGATGAATATCTTTTATGAAATGGAAAAAAATGGGCCATAAATTTCAGCCACTATTATTTGTACTCCTCTAATGTGGTCCCTAGGACTACATTAAGACAAACATTTCTTAAAAATTATAAGCTTGACAAAGAACATGCACATGTTAATACAATATCTGATGGCCATTCTTGTTGATGATAATTCCTGTTGTCCCAGTGCAATGAAAAAAAAAGACTAATTAGTGCTGGTTCTGGTTTGTGTGTTCATGATTAGAGATATTCTTACTCACCAGACGTCTAAAAACTGTGCTGCTTCTGGACATATTCTGACAGCTTCAACTTGCTGCAGGTTTATCATAGAAGAAACAAACAAAAGGATGCTCCAGCCATTATAAGTGCTGAAAATGTCTTTTCTCTCCTTCTCTAGGCAACAAGATTGCATCGTGTGTTCAGCAAATTCTATCAGGAGGCCTTGAATTTTACAATACTTTGAGGTTCTCATCAAGGCTATAACACTGCAAAATGGAAGTGTATTTTTTAGTCATCCAAAAATGTTTTTAAAAGTCTAATCTTTTAAGTGAGCAATTATGAGAGATAAAC